CAAATAAGAGGTCTTATGCAATAACGGTTCCAGAATTGGAGAGTTTTCGGTTTCGGCAACTTATAGCTAATTCTCCCGTGATAATGCACTGACTGACCCGAAACTCAAGAAGATGAAAGATGACCCCAAGTGTTACACCTTCCCATAACATTATAGGTAAGGTTTGAGTAGTTTTTGAAAATCTTCACAAAAATTATTTTGGCAAAAAATGAGAATTGTTACAAAATTTTGGCCCGTTTGACCTTGAAACAAAGGTCAAGTCCAAAGGCATATTTGAAATCTTAACATAAGACTTTAGGTCAGCCATCTATAGTAATTTTTCCCATAATTCTTTCAGTTTGGAGGATATTTAGCATTTAATTTTGCAAATTTTGGACAAGGGCCTATAGCAATGAGCACCATACCTAGACCAGTGCACTGACAAAGCCCAAAATTTACATGGATTGGGTTGAGATTATATGTAACCTACATCCAAGAGATGGGTACACAGGCTCTTGTATTCTAGGAGAAGAATCAATAACAGTGATGACTGATGTGGCAATGGATGAGGCAGGTCAGGACTAAAACCATGTGTACAATAAATAAAAAGATGCAGCTAGAGCTATTATTAAATACAATCAATACCCACCCCCATCTCCCAAGGCACACTGAGAAATGGATTTGTAATGTTCAAACTAGGTTTTTGATGGAAGAGCTAACTGACATCTTCTCAGTGGAACCAAAAATGTGTTACCAATACACTGGTAATATATCTGGTAATATATTCTTTGAAGAACCTATGACATGGTTAAAATACCCAACAGTACAAATGAACAGACGATTCCAGCATACCTACATTATGTCATATATATATAGGAGAGGATAATAAATAACTTAATTGAAACTCCACACTCTTCTGACAGTGCAACTATCCAACTATCATGTAAATTTTTATGTATGATTTACCCTAAAAACATATTCATTTGGTAACCACAATACAGTGCACCATAATGGCACTCTCGCCACAGACTACTATATTTACTCAATCCAGCAACACTGTTATAACTGCAAATGGGATAATTTTCCTAGCAAATTCATGGTTATAATCTGATATTCTCAAATCATATTGTGCTTTATATTTTTCATCTGGCATAGAAGACCCCAGAATATCCTCACCAGAGTCCTTAAACGGATAACAACTATTCATTTTACCCCCCCTCCCCCCTCCCAAAAAAAAAAAAAAAAAAGAATCTTTCTGGGGTAAACGCTGATTTTCCCATAATTACCAATGGTTAATGAAACCTTTCTGACATTCAAAGTTAGTCCATGTTTTTTGTTTCAAAAAAATTAAAGTTTTTTGTAATAATCTCTTAGATTATTACTGAGGTATAGCCATCTATGAAGGTCCATGTGGTCTGATGGCAAGCACAGGTTCCAGAATAATTGCGATAACTGCCGTTTTGCTGGAAAAATGGAGTCCAATATATTTCTATGGGCTGTTTACAATGTTTTTATTTTGGAATATATCTCATACTAACAGTTGTTATCCCTCTCATGTACATAGAAAATACAGAACTCAGAATTAGCATTTACAATATGCCAGGTCTACCATCTCTTTAACCCCTTCTTTAGCTTTATTATGCACAGCACTGAGAGGAGAGACAACATGTACATTTTCTGTAATGGTTTTTGGATATGATCCAGCTAGTTTTGTGACAAGGCAAACTTTGGGCCACAGAAATCATTGCTGAATCATTAATCAACCTTTAATGATGGAGTTCATTATATCCAATGAATCTGGCACAACACTTATGGTTCAATCTAAACTGTTCAATAATGGGATTTTGGGAGTTGGAAAATATATTTGCAAATTTATAAAATTAAGATTACTAGGACTTAATAAATTCACATAAAATTCCATATTTTCAAAATCATTTTTTTTTTTGTGAAGTCTCAGATAAAGAACAAAAAATTGAACCTTAAATACTGAAATATTATAATATCACTATATAGGAAACATGTGAGAAATTATGGTTTATTTTTTAATCAAATTCACAATCTATTATGATTTTTCCACATATGGCCAAATGTCCAAATAACCCGGGCAAAGGAAAATAACTGCTACATGTAGGCCTGTATTGAAACTGCTGCAAGAATGAGTCCATAATCTGCTTGTGTACTCTCTGCCCATGTATGACAGAGATTTGGAGAATTTAGAGTGCTTTTTACTATAACAGTTAGTCTATACACCTTGGTCAAGTCATGTATGATAGGTCTAAGATAACACCAAACTCAATCACACCTGTGGCACTCTGATATTTATTGCATGAACAGAATGTGTTTTGGGTGTTTATGATGATAATAATATTTTACCCCAAAAATACAATGCACATTGAATGTTAGTTCTGTCTAAAAATATACTCTGGAAACTATACAGCTCACCATGCTGGTAAACAATCTAATGAGACTGACGCTTCATATTGGCGAGCTTTTCCAAACTAAAGCTATTGATTTATTTCAGCAGCATGTCCATATATTCTGGTTATTAACTGATTAAGATCACATATCAGATATAAAATGCCACAGTCACACTTCAGCAGATTCAACAAATAAGTTTGAGCTAAGCTATATGTGATTTTCATAACTTTTACAAACTGCCATACTGCAGTCTGCTTTATTGAAATGCCTGCAATTTGTCAGGATAATATTCTAATTGGCACACCTTTTTTCACAACTCAATCCTATGATAAATACATTTCTTGGCATGCTAAAAACAATCTTAGCACACATGCTACTTTAACCTTTTCTTGCACGAGCAGGAAATGTTTACACACTAAGTCTGTCCTGGTTATGTTCAATAACCTAACAGAACAGGCTTCAATGTTTGAGCTTGTGCAAATGTCAAATGAACTTTTCATTTTCAAAATCTGCTTGAAACTATTGGAACACATGAGCACATTTTGGTGTTGTAAGTTATACTATATTTTTCAATTCAGGATGATTTTTTTTATGTACAAGGTTCTTTTAAATTTTAACTTTCTCTAAAAAAGGAGGGGATGATTAAGCCAATGTTGATTTACTATCAGGTTTGTAAAACTCCCCCTTCACCTTCCAAGCAAATCAAAGACTGACCTGGATGCTCTCCATAAAAGACAATGATGAAAAAATACTTCAAACTGGCAAATGTATTTCCAATCCTGTTTTTATATACAAACACAAGAGTAGTGTCTGTGTTTACTAAAATCACTGCACCTTATTTGTCACAATTATATTGATGTGTTTTTGAGAATTATATACCATTTTTGTCTAGTGGCTGTTTCTTCTACTTGCAATTGGTAACACTTTTCGAGTAAAAATCTAAAATGGTTGTCACTTACTGTAAATGCATGTGAAGTTTAAAACTGAGCTTTGTTGTTCTTCTTTAATTTTTTCTCGATAATTTTTTAACTTATTTCTGATCATTTTTGCAATTGTTGGTGTATTACAGCTTTTAGGAGGATATAGATCCTTTTGATCAAACTTCCTGGTGTAATATGAAAGACTTGATAATTAATTAGTGTAATTATTTAGTGTACAGTTAATATCCAAACAAAGACTGGTTGTCTCTTCATTTATCAGCCTTAGTAAGCTTGTTAATCTCTATGTTTAATCTATACTGCTACCTTAGAGTGTTTCTGTGTGGCATTTGTGGAACATTGAATCCCTGACATTAGCTAATCTTAGCAAGAGAAGTAAATAAAAGAATTTTATTTTAAGCTAAAGCATGCAATGGACATTTTTGTCTTTCACAGTCAAAATGAGCCAAACATCTACAAATGATCTACTCCAGACTTACCAGTCACTGATTTTGGGGTGTAGTATTCAAAGAAATCATTACAAAATAATTATTATATACGAAATCATTATATTATTATTATTATTATTATACTTATCATGTAAAAAAACTGCTAGTTTACTTCCCACTGATGTTAACATTTGTAAACAAAAGTAGATTTTACGAACGTTCTGTTCTTAACCCATAAACTAAGGCATAAACACTGGTGTCAAAAAGTATGTGTAATTATCAGAAAAGAATATATATGTGTCAGGCTGAAAGGGTTTAATCATGTTTAAAAATAACAAATCTTATGCTGTTTTGCTGTATTGGAACAACTTCAACAGGAGAGTTCAACTATGATATGGTATAGTTGTGCAAACACAGAAAATAAAAATGAACTTGATAAAATGGTTGGTCTTCAAATTAATTAAACTGGTTTCCTGGAAATTATTATAGAAAAAAAATTTGATAGAAAGAGAGAAATATATGTTATCTAAGGTTACAGCGCTGCCCTGTATCATTCATTACTACCCCCCTGAGCATTATATTCCTCAATGCAGAAATGCAACATCAAAACATAAATCTTAATTATAACACCTGCTACTACAATGTTCTTTTTTCAAAAATAAGCCTTCCATTGTAGCAAAAGGAACTGATTTTTGAGGCATCAATAAAAACATCAATGAAGGGAGAAAACGATGTGGGGGGAGTATCATTGTAGGGGAGTAACACTTTAAGGGGCACATGGATGTAGGTAATATCATAGTTATGCAAGGGTGAATAACTATGCGTGTACAGATACAATTATTAAAGAGATGACCGTTACTGTAACATAACACAATAAAATGAATGAATGTATGAATGGGAGAAAGAAAAATGACATGTTAAAGCAAAGTTTTTTGTTAAATCATTCAATCATCTTGACCATGCATCACCAGTTTGTGCCAAATACATTTCAACTTACAGGCCATCCAGGCCACCAGGGTCTGTGAATCTACTGGGCCAAACCAAAATTCACTGGCCTAAGTCCAATTTTTAAAATTATT